CATACATGGAAAATCCATTGTAAGCCAATCTCTCCACCACCTCAAATTAGCTTTTCCAGGTAAAACCATTCCCAAAGTCCCAGCTCTCCCATGATGTACTTATCATCCATTACATACAGGTAAAGTCTATTTGCTCTTCTGCTCATTCCCTTCTCTCTTTGCTCCTATCCCTCTGTACCTTTTCCATCACAGTTTTGAGTATTACTCTAATTTGTCTTTAAGGATAAAGATGGAACATGATGTTGTAAGCAAGACACTGGAAAAACTTTAATGAGATATCATATCCTGAGTTCACCACAGCTTTCCTGTGTGGCTGGAAGAGAAGCATTAATTTCAATGAAATCCAAGTTTCACTGGAGTAACAGCAACCCTCCTCACTAACTTTCCCTCAAGGCCTTCTCCAGTGAATTTCCACATCTCTGAGGTTTCTTTCTTTTTCATCAGAACAGTCAATGTAGCCTGCAGCTGCTACAGGCAAGGGAGCTGGCTGTTACCTAATCCAGTGGGGCAGGATATTTTCATAGATCTCACTGTGATAACTTCAAACAATTTAACTATTAGTAAATTCAACTTATAAATATGACCTGTGAGTAGGTAAGTATGTAGAGAATTGTTTGCATTTGATACATGCCCTTGTTCCCTGCTCTCCAATTTCACTTTTCTTCTGAAGATCTGATCCTGCAAATACTCAAATGCAAGAATAATTTAATATATGATCAACAATGACAGCATCTATGGGACTATTCAAAGGACTCCTAGCAAAGGATTATGGCTGACCTGCACATGGCTGGATTGTATGTAGGTAACACAGGGAAATATATATATTTCACATACTCAGCTACTGATACAGCTTTTAATGTGCTCTAGGAACTAAAGAGGTAAGCTTATACACACTTATGTTCTTGCAAGAGACTGATAATTTCTCAGATGCTCCACAAAGTACCAAATATGATCATCTGAATTAGCTAGCAGTTCAGGAATATTGATTTGAAATTGGCCTAGATAGACTTCAACCTGAAATACATTAACTGTAATCTGCCTACAATACACTAATAATAGCCTGAAATCTCTCAGTTGGCATTTCATTGTTAATGAGCTAGACAGTTCATCCAGAAGTATCCTGGTGTCCCTAAATATCTTGTGATTTTTGCATTGGCTCTGTTGGTTTTAAGATCATTAGGTACTGTAAACAACATACAAGCAAACATTTTAACTACAATGTGCTAAGAAACAGTAATAGCACACAGAGAAAATTACTGCCTTCAAGGCTAGGAAAAAACATCTCTGGCATGAAACAGTGACTGCTGGTCATGGAATTTTACAAAGTGCTTTAGTGTCTGTCCCTTTTTCAACCACAAGAAGACAGCAGTCTTTCTAATGCATTTTAACAGCAATGCCATTTTTAGGAATATATTAAATAATTAACACTAGTGTTCATGCTGTAATTTGCTAAATGCTTTTCAGCTGTACAGAGACACAGTTCTTTCCAAAACAAAACTAAAAATTAGCACCCAAACGCTAATTAGCAGACTAGAAGACACATTCTTCTGACCTTCTGTCAGATAAAGCTTTCTTCACTGCTTGTGCTGCAGCCCTCTTTCTGTGGCTTACAGTTCAACCATTTAGCTTACTTCTTGTTTCCTACAGAAACTGAATTTGTTTTCTACGTCATAGCATTTTTCTCTTTTTAGCATTAGCACATTATATTTTAAAAAAAGTTTATATAATACACTATTTGCATTTTTAATATGTTTTGTTTATTATTTTAAAAACCAAGAGCTGAGCCTGCACATTACTGATGCAGAAAGCATAATAATGGAAAAACAAGCCCTTATTTGTCAGCTGAAATAATGCGTGCGTTCAACCAAATTTTTCCTTTTAAATTAGAAATTAGAAAGTTAAATGTACATGCTAAAATAAGCTATAACAAAAAGAGGAGGTGACTAGTGCACCAATCTCCATTTAGTTGGATACCTAAACTTCACATGATTGTTGTGGGACCTGGATGTTTAGCTCTAGGAGAATACTTAAAAACTCAGGATTTTAATATTAATTTAATTTCCAACTGAATCCTTGACTTAGATAAGCGCTAGAGAGCAAGTGATGAAGAGATATTTTTTAAAAAATCACCAGTGGCCTTAAAAACTGCTGAATTTCATAACAATCTTAGGTCAGACATGTAGTATTGATTATTTATTTAGGACAGTAATTCACATGAAATCCCTTGTCTTTAATAATATTTTAATGTAAATTTCATAGCTTGCATTCTTGTAATATGTTTGAACTTTTGTCAAGTCATCTTCAAGTGTTTGGCTGTTTGACAGGTTTGCACATATCCTCAATGAATATCATACACTTTCACATTCATACAGGATACATATCCATGAGATAATAGGTGGAAAGTTCACTAACATATGCACATGATTACATCAATCAATTTAAAATATTTAGATTTAAGCAATTAAATAATGCTAGTATGTAGTGCAACAATTTCACTGTAACAGTTCTTTCATTTTTACACTAAATGTAACAGAAGAGTACAGCCCTGATAATAAAATGCTTGGTCTTATGAAGACAGAAATAAAAAAAATTTACTAGCTTGCTGATAGTTTGATTCAGGTATCATGGGATGCATACAAAATCTGATTCTCAAAACCTATGGGAAAGGCAGTGGAGCAGGCAACTGTGATGAGGCTTTGGAGAGAGTAGTGCTTCCAGCTCTGCAGTCCATGGTGGACTGAATCATCCTCCTTAGTGCATTGGAACCAAAAAAAAAGTAAAATATAAAAAAGGACAAAAGAGGAAGGGAAAGGGAAAGAGAAAAGACAACCAGATAGCCCAAATGTCAGCACTTGTCTTGACTGTGCTCAGTACTGGTGGTTTTTGCATCAGGCCACATCTCCTCTATTAGGTATGTCCATTTTTCTCTTATGTAGCAAGGAAACATTTGGGCTTTCACTATGAAACAAAAGTTACTAGTGAAAATGTGCTTTCACTAGTAACAAAACTAAATTCTACAGATTATTTACAAAAGCAAATTAAAAGGACCATAAGAAAAAAGAAAATAGATGTAGGAAAGTGCGTTCAGAAGTGGAGTCATTGCCAGGCAATGGCCAGAGACTAACCTAATTCTCTGGAATTCTTTACCTGTACTTTGGACATGATTCTGTTAAGGCAAAAAAAATGACTTGGACCATTCATTTCACTGTAGATTCTAAAAGGATTTTATCAAACAACAGATTTCTCTTGCCAACTGTATTTGGTAAAAAAGCATAAGTGAAATCAAATGGCTTTCTTTCAACTGAAAGAAGGCAAAAATAGACTGAAGCAGGCAAATTTTACTCTCAATCTCCTTTGTTAAAAGAAGTGTTGGGCTTACGCTCTTTGTTCTTATAACATGTTAAAAACATTAGGAGATCCATTTTCTCACAACTCTGTCTCTTTGATGAGAAGACACATTTAATTTTCATCCAACCCAATTCAGCAGCAGCTAGTGCAGAAAAAAATCCCATATTCCAGAGGGCTTCCCAGTTGCTTCAGCCTCCTCATTTTTCCCCCAACTGACCTTCAAGCCCCTGCTGACAATGCTGGCTTTGCTCATACTGAAAACTAGTGCAGGGCAGGGGATGCCTGATGGGTACATAGAATTAAAAAACCCTTTTCCCACAAAATGCTGTTTTTTCAAATAGTGTTGTTCCCATCTGTATAACAGTCTTTATTCTGCATGTTTACAAGTAAATCTGGAAAGACTTTGCAACTAGGCTTAAATACTCACTAATTAAATATAACTATAACTAGCTTTTATATCCACCTCTAATTATTGCAAAATAATAATGGTAGGCTTTTTTGACTAATCAGAGAAAAATGAATGTTTAACTGAACATTTCACAAATGTTTCATATCAATCAGCAAATAAAAAAGCACTTGAATTTTTATTGCAGTATTTGCTTCTGTTACTGAGAGCTCTTTAAGGCACCAATGAATATAACAAACCCATTTATTTACAGCATGCTTGCTCTCACTAGGATGGAAGTGTGCACAGGAAAACAGAAAATGTTCTCTGGGATGTCTTAATAGAAAAATATATAAATAGTTGAGAAAAGAAGAACAGCAGCATATAACAGCAGCAAACTTCTAAAAGAAACCTAAATTGTTGCTGGCGGGTTTTTCCCCTATTTAAATACACAGGTGAAAATTCCCCTTTAGGACAGTGCATGCAGAGCATGCATGGTTTCTGGAAGAAAATTATTGTACAGGCTGGCTTCCAAAAATACTGAGACCATAATACAAAATTAGATAGCAAGTATGTGAATAACAAAAGCTAAAATCCCTAAAAATAATTAGATTCATTTGATAATTGTATGATTGCAAGACAAGTATGGTCCTTTTAATTTATGCTCTGACCACTGAGGATGCAGTTTTATGAACAGCTTTCCAGTAGCACCTGGATCTGATGCAGTGACTTCTCTGAGGTTGCTGGATAATTTGCCAGATTACATTTCAAGGGGATTAAACCCCCAGCCTAGCTCATCAGTCACCCACAGTAAAAAAGTGTTTATACAGGAAAAAACATAAGGGGAGAGAAAGCAAATAAAAGTGAAAGGACAGATTTTCTACTGGCTTCTCTTTCCTTTCTTATTTTTTCTTATTATACTTCTTATAAAGTACAACTTCTCTTTCATTTCTTATTTTTCTTAGTGGTGCTCAGATTCCTGTATAATTATATTCTTTTTCGTGCTGGAGAGCTAAAAAATCACAGCAAAGGAACCAGACTTGCAATAACAACATAAGCTGGTGTGGCATTGAAGTGTTCAGACTCCTCACCGAATAATCTCTCAAAAAAAATGCAATTTAAGTCTAGAACGACATAACAGTTAATGCAGCTTTATGGTAAGCTGCTGTGTGGTTCAGATAATATATCTGAAATCTGAAGTGATAGACGAGACTTCCATTTGTCTCATCTTCCCCTGCAGATATGTGAAGAAAAAATCAGAACTCACCATTATTCACCAGGACATGGAGTGGACAATTCCTTGCTCTAAACTGCTGCACAAATTGCCGTATAGACTTCATGGAAGCCAAATCACAGTATAAAAACTCCACTGGGAGAGAAGAGGAGATAAAAACAAAGTCAATTACAATGATATAAAGACACATAGACATCAACAAGGACTCCTGTGATAACATCACTAGTAGAGTAAAAGTTTTAAAAAGAAAACAAACTTTTCAAAATCCTGGGTGAAGCTGGACTCAGGTTCTTTCTTTCTCCTTCTTCCCTTCATTTCTATTTTTAAACTATTGATTCTTCACAGAGCAAATGTGGGAAAAGTGGCTGTCAGGAGGTGAAGGAGGGCATTAAATAAGCAAATATGCACCAGCCGTACTGTTCTTACTACTGCTGCCATTTAAGAAGAGGAGCTACAGTGCTGCAGCGCTGAGATGATCAGGATATGGCAGCTGGAAATCAAATGGGGAGCGGAGAAGGCACATCAGACACTGCAAGGTTTCCCTCTGCTCCTCATGCAAATATGCTGTCCTTTGTTTTTTCCCCAGATTGTCTGCTAAATATATGTGGTTGGAATATTTTATAAAGCAAAGCTTTATTGCCAGTAGGAGAGATGAGCAGCAGGACACCCTGAACACAGCAACTCCACTGATCACTAAAAGAAAATAGAGCATCATAAGAAATGCTGTGGCTCCTATGGGCATCCAGGGACATTTGGTATCCAGGTCCAGCAACAACCAGCCATGAAAATGCCATTTAAACATGGGTAAGGGTTGTGCTGGCCCTTGGCTTTGGCAATGGCAGTGTGATATGAGAGGACCATAGCTCACACGAATATTGTGGGTGGCATCCTGCCTACGCTGCTGATGTCAGTCAAAGGGCAGGGTGGCAGGGGGCTGGAAATCCAACTGCACCAACAAGATGGCTCAAGGGGCAGGGTGTCAGACTCAAGATATATTTGATTCTAGTATGTCTTTGTTGACAAGAAAATACATATCAAACAGGCATCCGTCCTTTTGTCCAAAGCATTACTCAGCCATTGACCTGCACTAGAATGCTAGAAAATTAATTAGTCAAAATAAAAAAAAATATTACTTAAATCCCCCAGCAGCTTTAAACCCATCAGGTCTTAAAATTCTCCTACTGCAGTTGTTCAGCTTTCAACCCCAGGCTCTCACAGCACTGCCTCATTGATTTCCTTTCCTTGCATGAAGCCATGACCAGAGTTATGAAGTGAAAAGAAGCAGTGCCCCCTGCCAACAGCAGTAGCTGTCCCCACACAAATAATCCAAATTCTTTAGAAAATCTGCAAAGAGGAAAAAGAAAGAAAATTATGACCTTGTCCAACTCTTTTAGCCTTTTAAAAAGTATATATTGTATGCCAGGCTTTTGGTTTGTTTCAGCATTGGCTATGTTTTAAGGAAGATTATATGATGCTCTACCACAGATATTAGTCTCTTTTCTGGTTTCCTACTTGTCACTGTGGGAGCCCGAGTCAGCCAACTGTTGTCAACTCCACCCTGCCAAGGCACTAGGGCTCTGAGGTGGATTTACTTGAACCTCTTCCATAAAGTGACTTTTCCAAGGAAGAGCAAAAGGTGCTTCAAATTGAGAAAGTCAAACAATACTGAGCAAGCTTCCATGACTAGGTACATCAGAGAGAAAGCTAAAGGCTGTACAAAGCCTCTCCCCTTGTTCACTCTATCCTTGCAGGGTGTGTCCTTACTGTTCTGTTTCGTTTCAGTGAGCTCCCAGATTTCCCAAGCTGTGGCAACCTCTGCACAGATGCTGTCTCCAGGATGGTTTTGGCCACCACATCAAAGGACTGGAGTTTCAGAGTCTCACCATGTTTTCCCCCCTCTCTGCTGCCCTCCCTCCTCCTGGCCCCAGGGCCACTGCCCTGTGCTCCACAGGAAGGAGCAGACACCCCCTTCCTTGCACGTGGGTCCCCCACCTCTTCTTATAAAAGATTCAGCCTTTGAAAGAAGGGGAAAATAAAGAGATACAGTTCTTCAAAAACACCTTTCTGATAGGAGGATTAAACTATTGGATAAATAGGCTCCAGTGCAGGCTGTAATACGAGACCTTTCCTCTTACTCTCTTCCCTGCTCCATTAGGGATGTTTATCCTGTCCCTACCAAGGCTCTGAGCTATAATGCCTCTTTATAGCATGTCACTACAGTAAGAGATTAGAAAGGCCTGCAGGCACAACAACAAGATAAATAAAAAAAGAAATTCACAACTGTTATTTAATTTCTTTCCAGGAGAACAGTTTCTTTAGTTCCCTTAACATGAAGCTTTAATAATCCTTATCTACTTGGAACCTAGACAATATTAGTCCTCTGAAATTGTCGTAGTGAATGTATATAAATTATTCAGTGGCCTTTTTCATTAAAAAACAAATAAACAAACAAGAATTCTTAGATTCCACTTATAAGACAGTGTAAATACATTTTTTTTCAAAGTGGCTCTAAAGTAATACCATTTCAACAACACTGTCCCATGAATAGAAGTGGACAATTTCTTGATCACTCTGCAGACCTCTAGGCACTCAGCAATTTTCTTTAATTTCACTGAGGCCCTGCACCTGGAGATGGTCAGGAAATGCAGAAGCTATTAACTTCTGTCGGTGTTGCTCAGGCCATTCCTCCTGTAGCCTAGCTGCTGTATAAAACCACATAAATGGCACTGTATTTGCTCAGATATCCAAAACCTGGTCATAATAAATTATTAATAATTAGTGCAACAATGAGTGAAGATCTAGATGAAGATTTATGCTGACTCTGCTGTTGTTATACTTCATTAGGCAGCTCATCAAGGAAAGAGATTAGGGCAAGCATGACCTGCTTCTTACGAGGCAGTCATACTGCCAATGCAAGAGTCACTTTCAGTACAAAAACATTTTTGTTGGTACAGGAAGCATTAGGCCTTCATCAGCTGTGGTATTTTGTGGCACAGTGCAGGCTTCAACCATTTCTCCATCACCAGTATGGACTCACAACATTATTGACTCTATTGCCACTACATATGCAAGAAAAGCAGACTTCTGAGGGTGTCCACTAACCTAAATTTTAATCTCTTTCCTTATCTGGCCTTGCATTGCCAACAAGAATGGTGGTTAGATAATGTGTGCCAAGAGAGTGCTTTTTAGCCTGACCAACACAATCTCATCCTTCCTGATAATTAACTTTTTGCTGCAGCTGTCTGATCTCCCCTCCCTTAATTTTCCAGTTCTGCACAACAAATGCTGTCCTTCATTAGGACTGTACAGTGCCCAGACTAATGGCACACCAGGCCTAGGCTATCATTACTAAACTTATTTACTTGCTTACTTGGGAAGCATGTCATCAAATTCAGTATTTGTAAAGCACGTGCCATCAAAAGATCAGAACATGCTTCGGAAAGGAAAACAAACAAACAAACCAACCCCCAAACTTTCTTTCTGCTCACAGGCCCAGAGTCCTTGTTGATGCTCATTTGTGCGTGGCAGCTCTTTGCTAGGGAGGCGGATCCACTGGCGCAGCACCGCGCTGACCGAGGCGCCGCTCCCCTTGAGAAACTGTGCCAAAATCTGGCTCCCAGCCGTGTGCTGACTCATAGGCAGGGCCTTGAGCAGAATCTGAGTTTCTTCTTTGGCCCATGGTGATTTTTTTTTTAAATCAGTATACTGGAGAATTACAAATTGAGAAGCTAAGAACAATGGTAAGTTTTTAGACTATTTTGAAGCATGCACAAATATACTAAGCATAACAATTTTTTTGATGCCTTATTTTGTATTACCAAGTTTCTGACAGGCTGTTGGGGTTCACTCCAGCCAGCTACAGACCCATGCCCGCATGATAATTCATAGACAAAAGTAAAAGATTGAGAAGCGCTCTTCTCCAGATGGTAACATTCTCTATTCCAGGAGAAACACACAATGGACAGACACATGGGAGAAAAAGCGTTCTCTGGTGTAAGGGAACTTTGGTCCACAGGCAATGGGATACCAGTGAAGAGTGGCGACGGGAGGGGAACCCAGGAAGAGATCACCAGGGGTACTGGGGTGGGTGAGGGAAAGGCCATGTGATGGGGGAAAGAGGTAACAAACCATGTGATATACCATAAGCTACTCAGTGCAATATAAAAACTACTCTGTGCACATTTCCAATCACCCAGTGCAAAACAACAACTAAATAAACTATTTAGTGCAACAATTATTAGTTAATAAAGACCAGTGTTTAATAATGTGAGCAAATGACCAAACTGGATTGTGAACTAGGGATGTAACTAGAACTACTTCAGGGAAGCAAGAATGTCAATGTTTTTCCTTATAGCATAGGTATGAACAAAAAGAAGATGTGCATTAACAGCAAGAAAATTGAAACATGCCAAAATTCTTGTCTTTTACCACAATAGTGGCCTTTCTGCTTTAGAGTTTAATAATCTAATAAGTTTTCAAAACTACCTAGTTCTTTTCATTTTCTGTATGCTATTAAGTACAAAAATAGAGAGTAGAAGATACAAACAAAATAAGCTACAGAAAGAATATCTGCAGCTAATGCTACCGAAATACTCAGATTTCTAAATCTACCCCATTTTATCTCTCCTTTTCCTGTACTACTTGCTTTCAGGTACTTCTGTAGTGACAGACATGCCCATATTTTGTCCTTCACACAATCTGGATGTGTCCCATGTTCTTATCTAAATAATTTCTCCAGTGAAAGTAAGTACATCCATAACTGTCAGACACTGGCTAACATTTTCACTCTTAAAAATACTTTTCTATTCTTTTATTGTAATTTGATGACTCAGTTGTCAGGGAGTTATTAGCTAATGAAATACTGAAGAAGCAAAATTTCCCAAAAGACATCCAGAATTACTTATGCTATTAACCACATATGAATAGATATGTATATGATGGTGCTACAATTGCTGCTTTCCCTAATTGCTTTCTTTCAAACATGCGTTAGTCTGGTGCAGCAACTTTTCAGCCAGCCACAAGAATTCAGCACAATGTTTTCTGGCTGCACCTCATGAGGCCCATACAGACTCCACAAAGCCATGCTGGCTGCCATGTGGGACACCGCTGAGACCGTGTGCAGTGCTTGTTCCTGC